GCCCCTATAAAGTAAATAAAATAAAGACTTTTTTTTTACACCTTAGACGCGTCGGGCATATGGGAAGAGCATCCATATTTTTTACAAACCATCGGCACTAGGTGGGTAATGTGGTCACCATTATGCCGGCCGGCCGTCTTTACTTCCCCAGGACATCCATCCTGGTACCCATTTTATGCTCGGTCGACCTGCGACCCCCCCCCGCCCCCCCCGCCCCCCCCATACCAAGATAAAAATCCACGCAGTCATCAGTGGGTTTCGATCGCGGTACGTTGGAATTTCGAGTGGGACTCGCAACGCCTTGGCAACGGACGCCCCTCTGCAGGGTGACGAAACTGTCAAACTAATCATAAAGTCAATAGAAATATTGACTCCAAAATAAAATAAAATTGTTTTCCGTTCCTAGAAATTTGCCGACCTCAAAAAGGTGTTGCCCTGAGCAGCTGCACGTGTTGCCTGAAAAACACATCGCCTACATGAACACACACACACATACATATATATATATATGTATATGTGCATACATATATATCACATACGCACGCTTTCTCACACACACACACACACTTACACAGACACACCACAACACAAGAAAATCCCAGCTCACTTAATTCCATTATGGAAGCCTCGGCAATGTAAATATTAGATAAGTGAATACATCCACAAAAACTTAGACTCTGCATTCTAATTACAAATTTGAAATTGAAAACAAGATTGTCTGTGTCTTCCGATGTTATTTCCTGTCCAGCAACATTCCTGTAGCTCCGGGATAATCTTTGTTGACATACTAATTATCCGTCTTCTATGAATGCACGCTAATTTCGTTTTCTCTATGGCGTACACAGATGTAAAGGAACTCTCAAGGCGTATTCTCTTTGTAAATTGCAGTCTGAAGTCATCGTCCTCTCCTGGAAAGCAATATGTTGTTGTTTTAAAGCCCCACCCTGGCTTTTGCCAGGGGCCCTGAATATAGCCGGACCATCAATATGGCCTAGGCCTTAAATATGGCGTGACGGCTGAAAGAGGTTTCTGTGACCTCTCCCCGGGTGATCCTCATCCGCGTGGTGGCACTTTGTGTCACAGGGTGTTTATCACTTGTGTGATGTCCTGGTGGGGTATAACTACCTTTGTAATTTGCTTAGCCCTGGCATTTTCAATGTCACGATATTATGAACATCAGAGACCATTCCCTTCCTCGCCGCTTTTTCTTCTTTAAACTTTCCATAATATGATGAAATCACTGAAAAAAAAAAAAAAAAAAAAAACGAACCCCCCCCCCCCCCCCCCACATTATTTTAAAGAATTGTGAGAATTGTATATATTGTGTTTCTCCATTTATATTGTGATAATTTTTTTGTTTGTTAAAGAAAAAGCTATAGCATAGGTGCAAAACTGTCGAGAAAAGTCATACCAGAGCTCTAGCAATATTCAGATTCAATAAAGAAATGCTAAAGCCGTGACAATTTCTTACAAAGGTGAATGCAAAAACATCAGAGAATATTCGTCTCCAGTGACCAATGTTTATCTTCGTACTGGTCCTCCCGTGCTGATTTCCTTAACTCTTTCAGTACCCAAGAACTCACAATACGATTCTTGGTCATTGCAAAGAAGGTATGATGTTTTACTGCTTCCGATCACAGACAGATGTTATGTCAACCTTTTCTTTCTGAATTAGTGGTTTACACACTTGTGTCCGCTAGTGGATCTGTTCAATTCCTTCAAGCCCAAGCATTTATGGCTTTTAAGCTCAATCTTTTGGGATGGATGGAATTCATATAATGGTTGCTTTAGGACTAAAAGAGTTAATGAGCAATATCTCTCAGCAGCGCTTCTCTAGGAACTACAAACGTTTTTACCAGAGGAAAGGTCCTAATGCTAGTGTAGTTCGCCATGTGAGTTTCAAGGCCTCATTGGGGGCGGGGCGGGGATAAGAATAAATACATTACCACACCCCTCAACAACCATGTTGTACAAGGCTACTCACTATTATTTTTCTGAAATATGTTGTGTTGGGCCGAAGGGCTCACATATTGTAGCCTAGCTATTAACTATAAGACAGTGTGATTACAGCCCTTTAAATGGTGGACGCAGAAGAAAAAGAAGAAGCTGTTGTTGTTACTTTCATGGACGTATGGTTTCCCCACTGGTCTGGCAGGTTGCTGTTGTAGTTACTTTTATGGACTTAAGGTTTCTCAACTGGTCTGGCAGGAAGTTATTGTAGTTAATTTCATGGACGTATGGTTTCTCCACTGGACCAATGGTTTCTACATTTTTCTGACGGAAAGATGTTGTAGCTACTTACATAAACGTATGATTACTTTTTTGGCAGGAAGCTCTTGAACATGCTAATACTTACAGGGACATGGTTTCCCCACTGTTTCGACAGGAAGCTGTTATAGTTACTTTCATGGACTCCGGCTTTGTCCCCTGTTCTGACGGGAAGCTACCTCAGTTCTTTTCAAGGACCCATGGTGTTTTTTTTTTAAACTGGTCTGGCAGGAAGCTATTGTAGCTACTTTCATAAATTGTAGTTTCTCCACAGTCCTGACAGTAAGCGCACGTCATACTGTTCTGGCAGAAAATTGTTGTAAATACCTAACATAAACGTATGATTTCTCCACTGTTCTGACAGGAAGCAGACGTCATACTTGGAGCCCTGACGGTTACAGCGGAACGGGATAAGGTTCTGGACTTTACGCTGCCCTATTACAACTTTGCCGGTATACAGATACTTATGAAGAAACAAACGGTCAACATCAATCTGTTTTACTACGCCAATGTCTTCACTGCTCAGGTTAGTTTCATGAGAAATGTACACGGTATAGTCCACGTAGTTACATCTGTAGTTGGTTCTCATCCGCATGGTGACCCTTTGGGTCACCGGGTGTTTATCGCTTGTGTGATGTCCTGGTGGGGTACAACAAGCAATAGTTAAGCAGAGTCGTCATGTACTGTCAACATTTCATTTACATAATTGTAGCTTAGTTCATGTGTGTTTCACTGAGTTAGATGAACAAATTATTTCATCGTGTGCGGGTTAGGCTTTCAAAAGATAATCACGCACCATTCCACATGTGAATAGATTTACAAAACAGAAACCACGCTTGTGGTTAAAGTAAACGATTTGTGTTAGTATTCTATTTTTTTATGGGTACACACATTATTACAAAGATCCAAGAAATTTGCCGCTTTCAGAAAACAGCGGCACCTGTGTAATTATAATTTATAAAATCGAAGAACATGGTGATTCTAAGATCACATGCACAGATTCATGTTGATCCATAGAGAAGTTTTCAAGATATTTGATAACTTTCGAGGGCACGACATTTGAAACGCTCTATAAGAATTTTCATGTCTCGACAATGAAGGTTTGCTGTTGTAGATATGTACCTCCTACTGTCTTTGTGAACATTGCGTTTTGACGCTTTATCAATTCTATGGTGCGATTCTCGTAAAATTTACATAAACTTTAAGTAATCGCAAACAACCTATAAAAAATAAATCATTATTTGTTGTATGTGAGGTTAAAAGTTAATTGCGCATCTTTTACATGACGTTGCAGAACCAACCCCAGCATTTCTGGTTGTGGTTTTTCTGGGCGAATAAATTTAAGTTAAGTATTTTGCCATTGCTTTTTGGAGGGTCGGCTTCTCGATACCACTGTCGAAACCAACGCAAGGCCCGCAGCTGGGATCAAACACGGCACCCCGGGATTACGAAGAGCGTTCGCAACGCCTAAGCCTCAAACGCCGCCCATGTGATATACATGATACTTTCAGCTGGTCATGCTAGTTATCTGGATCACAGAGAGCATTCCCCAAATAATAATGAGCCCCGGTAAAAACGCATACAACAGTTATAATATGATACATATATTTTATACAAACACGAGAACCATTTTCTTCTTCTCAAAGTCCATGCCGTGTAGCGTTGGTAGTCATGTCATTCCACAACCTTTTGTCTTGTGAACTTTCAGTCAACTCTGACCAGGTGATCTTCCATGCCATGATGTGCTAATGTTCAGCATCTTTTCTCTCGGTCTCCCTCTGCCTCACTTCTACTCTTACGACGTAGTCCAGTTTTCTCCTTCCCCTCACATGACTAAAGAATGTAGATTGTCTCTTTCTGATGTGGGCAATCAGTTCTCTTTGTGAGTCAATTTCAAGAAATGTTTATTATTTTTTTTAAATCTGTTCAGGGTATTCGCATCATTCATCTATAAAACCACATCTCCACAGCTCCTAAATAATTTTCCCTAATCTATCAATTGTTCATGATTTAGTTCTGTATATCAGGATTGGATTTATATTGGATCTCATTTTACTTGAAACATTTTACGTAGTATAAATACTTAGCTGAACATTCATTACTAATTACTGTGAATGTAAATTTATTTAAATCAGGCCTGGGCATCCCTAGCAGCAGTTTTTGTTGTCACCAGCGTTCTCCTTTGGGCATTTGAAAAATGGAAATGTTCAGAGAAAAACGAAGGCAACTTTTCTGTAACCACGGGTATCAGCTATACAAGTTCACGCCTGGCTGCAAACAGAAGCAGACACTCAAGCATAAACAAGAAAGAATTACGTGGATCTAGAGAAGGCAGTGAAGTAGAAATACGAAATGATAGTCGCAACAACAACATGTCTACCATTGAAACAGTTAAAGCTCGTGTTGGGATAAATACAAGTCCAGCAGAGGAGGTCCTTGATGATACAGTTTTGCCCGTGGCTTCCTGTACACTGGGGGAGATTGTGTGGTATGTCACCGGAGCTCTCACGGCCACCGGTAAGTTGATATTAACTCTTTGAGTCCCAAGTAACGCATCATACGTTCACAGGTTACTGCCTAGAAGCTCAATGAACCCATGATGCGCCGACTTTACGTCTCTTTTGACTAACCCTTGGGCCTGTGATGCTAAACCCTCTGGGACTCAAAGAGTTATTCGCCTAACCTACTCCAAAGTCAAATAAGTAAATATCGTGATTGTTCTTGGTCACTCTGCAATATGCCAACGCCGCAAATGTAAATTACTGCTCAACATATTTCAAAGTGAAATATTACTATTCACGCTGCTACAGTCTATTCTAAAAGTCGTGACTTTCTTTAAAAGCCAGAATCTCTGTATCCATTCAGTTTAAGTCGTTAAAATTTAGCATGTAACCTATTAATAATCATGTTCTTGTAATTTTTTTTTTTTACGGTAAACAATTTGCTTTATTTATTCTATATGACAAAACAGACATCAATTCAAAGAATTCAGTTAGTATGTTCACAGTAAATGGTTTGAGGCGAAGTTAGCAAAAGATAAAAATGTACACGTTTTGGAGATAATCAAATTTGGAATAGTAATGTGGACACATCGCGTACTTCAATAGTGCACGTTTTGTGTCAATTACTGTATGTGTAAATTTTTTTAACGGAAAAGCAAATTATTAGTCAGAAAAAAAAAAAAAAATTCGCCGCTGTAAGACAACAGCAGCACCTGTGCAATTGCAAATTATAAAGTCATAAGGACATGGAAAATCTAAGACATATGCAAATATTTGAGTTGATCCGTTCATAGGTTTTCGAGATATTCATTAAACTCTAAGAGCACGACTTTGGAACGAACAATGCAACATTTTTGTTGGAGATCCTAATATTCAATCGAAATATTATGCAAACAAAGGATTTAGCAGCTCAATGACTTTGTTGTAGTTTCGAGGATGTAATTGTGATGTATATGTTTATGAACCACGTAATTGTGATGTATATGTTTATGAACCACGTAATTGTGATGTATATGTTTATGAACCACGTAATTGTGATGTATATGTTTATGAACCACGTAATTGTGATGTATATGTTTATGAACCACGTAATTGTGATGTATATGTTTATGAACCACGTAATTGTGATGTATATGTTTATGAACCACGTAATTCCTTTGTAAAGAAAAACTAGCCCATAACACCATAAATCTAGAAATTGAAATAAAAGTTAGTGGCTGCGTCAAGAGATATGTCAAAGACTTATCACAACATTATATGTGCGCCGTAACATAGGGGTACAGTCCACTGCTGCCCCCCTCCCTTCGTAACACCACCAGATGTTTTTGTTGAGAACTACTCCCACTCCCTCGCCCAAAATTTGAGCACTTACCATCTAGAACATTTTTAAATTGGCTATGTGGTCTTCTTAGCCATCCATGTACAGATGTTGTTTTTTAAGTATCTGTTTATGCATTTCATATTATGTCAAATATATTATTAAATTGGACTGCCATTCGGCAAATAATAATAATAATAATAATAAATTATTTTTTTGCATATCAACAATTCTTAAACCCCTTAAGCTTGACTCTCTAGAAAATTATAAATCGACTGTGCGTCCTCTTGGTGATGACACCCCTGTGTAATAATGACGTGTACTAGAAATTAAAATGTTTAAATAGCGTCACGGTTACGAAGTAACTTTATTGAATTTGCATCGGGTTTGTACGTCTGCTTGTCGGTGTTAGAACTGAAAATAAATATCTTAGACTCTTCAGAAGAAAAAATAGCGACACTGTAAAACTTCAGGGGAAACGTTGTGAAAGAACATAATATAAAAAAAAAATAAATAAAAATAAGACGTGTAGATAAAATAATGCTGACTTCAGACTGTGAACAGGACCGCAAAGTGACAAATACTGTTAGAATTAAATTGCTGGTTTTATTTCAACCTCCAAAAAACAAAGATGTATCTAACGGTAACGTCCAGGCAAATGGACAGATTTATTAACTAAAGGCAAGGAAAGACTCGAGAACTTGATGATGTAATGAAATATAGGCAGAAAGGGGTTAAATGAACAAGCATACATTTCAGACCACCACACGGCGTACTAATCCATCACTGTGTGAAATGACAGAAATAGGTGATTAGAAAGCCATGGCCTAGCCAGCTATGCAGAACACACCGCCATGACATCTGACAGTGAGGGATGAAACATTCGACGAGTGCCCGTGAACTGTGACCAACGGATGAGATACGTTCATCCAGACGTGACCACCAAAGACAGGTGACAGAGAAGTGATGGAGAAGGTACGCTAAAAAGAGCGGGAAAGGGGGGGAATAAAGTTAGTCCCGGAACCGCTGGAGAGCAGTTAGCCCCGGAACCGCTGGAGAAGGGAGTTAGGGCTAGACCGCTAGAAAGACCGGTTAGGAGAAAACTAGTGCTTTACTTCGTTTAGAAGGTATATATTAAACTTGGAGTTTAGCCAGAACAGTGGTTAAGGAACTCGTAGAGAGTCATACGAATAGCCTGTATCCAGATAATACAGAATTCATATACTATTGAATTTATGAAGCCTCTATGACTGGAATATTGTAAATAAACAGCTCTTATGTAATTGATTACATCACTGGCCTTGTTCTTGAGTACGATTGAAGAGAGATACGAACTATATTCATTCCACTTGGCCGACTTAGGCACATCTATTTCTTGGGGGATGTATAGGCACGACTGTGCCACAATGACGACTGACAAGACTGATTGAAGAGGGAAGAACAAAGCCAATATGAATACCTTCCTGGCTTGGCATCGTGCATAGCAATGACCTGATCCGTGATTATGCTGATCGTGTGAGTTAGCGAATCATGACCGCCTAGACACTTCGGTATGACACATAAAGACGAGAAGCGTATTCATAAAATGGATTTGCTTCTAGAGGGATTTGAACCTTCGGTGCCAAGCATGCTGGCAGGAAATCATGCGTGCTAGCCACTAAGCTGACAGGGAAGATAAGTAGATGGCGGGTGTTTTGCCAGTTGGTCAAGCTTCTCCACTGACCTTAACTCCCTGTTTCGATTCCGGGGCGCTCCGTGTGCGTTCCAGGACCTATTCTTCACGTCGCACAGTGCGACTTATTATAAGATATTCTTCGAAGTCGGAGCGAGTCAGTCTGAGAGACGTGTAACCAACAGCTAACCAAACGGATTTGCACACAATACTTAAGTTCTAATACAAGACCAAAATCAATCATAACTTGCCCTCGTTTCTTATCCCTCTTGTTTTTCAATGCGTCATTTAAAATAATCACAACAGGGTAACCAATGAATTTATATTTCAGGAGGAGGAGATCCACCAAGAAGCTTATCAGGGAGACTGCTGGTCGCTGGCTTCTGGTTCTTTTCCGTCATCATGATGTCAACTTTCACTGCGAACCTGGCCGCATTCTTAACTGTCTCTAGGATGGGGATGACCATTACCTCCTTGGACGACTTGAACCGCCAGTCTGAGGTCAAGTTTTCAGTGGTCAATCAGGTAATCATCATAGTCAGTTCTCGTTATGCCTAGTGGCACACGAGGCTTCAGAGAGGACTTTCCATGCTTTCCTGTCCTGTGCAATCTTCAGTGCAGTTTTCCATGTCAAAGATGCCGCACTCAGGTCACTTTCCATCGTTCGTCTCCATGTTGTTTTTGGGCGCCCCTGTTTTCTCTTTCCCTCTGGTGTCCATGTGAGAGCTGTTTTGGCAGGTATATCAGAAGTCATTCTTATAACGTGGCCAAGCCATTGCCATCTTTTCTTGGTAATCATACTGTCTAAAGTTTCTTGGTTTGTGGCTTGAAGTAGTTTAGTGTTTGAGATTGTATCTGGCCAGAAAATTTTGATAATTCTACGCAGACATGTGTGGTGGAAGGTGGACAGCTTTTTTGGTCATTCTCCAGCATTCTGCTCCATAAAGAAGAACTATCAGGTACTAATTTTGTTTAATCATGTAGGTTAATTATACTGTGTTATACATTCTTAATATATTTTGCCTCAAAGAAAACTCAAGTTTTGAATTTTTTTTTTTAAATAATGGCTACACCATGGAATCAACGTAAGGCACTGATTATATCAAACAACAGTTACATTAAAAAGATATGAATGTATTTTATGTCCAGTCAGTTATTGTTCGTTAGTAACAAGTGGTGACAATGACGTCCTTTCATTAACTAGTAGTAAAGTAGGATTTACACTGCTGTCAATGGTTGATGTGGCCAAACGTAGTAGGCAGCAGTCTCGACAAGGACCGTGTGTAATGTCATTTGGGTGATATAGAAGTTTGTGTTGCAAAAAATCAAGTAAACCAAATTCTTTCTATACAGTCCAGCGTGATGGAGTATTTTCAGCGCATGGCAAAGATCGAGAAAGACTTCTACGAACGCTGGAAGACGATTAGTCTCGACAAGACTTCCGAAGACGCTCAAGCCAGCCTGGCTGTCTGGGACTACCCTCTTGGTGAGTTTTTGGATTCGGAATGTTCGCATGCTGTTTTACATTATATTCATGTGATTGAGTATACTGGTAGCTTTTATCCTCAGTCGACAATTCTGGAATACCAATGGCTTATGAGTAATTGCGACCAAACAAAATGCTGGCACGCAATAAACAAGTAGAGGAAAAATTGACAGAGTTCTAGATACTACTTTAATTGGAAACTATGACGACCACAAGGAATGGTTTATGGTTTATAGTTTATACAACGGATCGACATCTTGGCACAGGGGTAGTAACCCATAAGTGCTCCGTTCAACTTCTAACTCAAGCCTGATTCAAAATAATTTCAGCTCAGTGCACGAACTCTGTAGCACCGGTGAGGATCCTGAAATACATTCCGTAGATTTTTAGCTCCAAATTTTAATGGAGCAGCGCCGTTAGGCTACTCTTTTTTTTATTTCGAACTGCCAAGGGATTTTTTTAACGTGCGCAACAGTACACACGGGTGTCCAGTCTTACTACCCAGAGAGCAGGGAAAATTACTATAAGTCCACGTGAAATAATCACAGCCTTCACTGGGGTCTGAACCTGGAACCTTCAGCACTCGAGGTGGACCGCATTCCTCGAGACCACACAGCCTCCCCCCACCCACAAGGAATGTGGGTAGTAACACTTCTCTCGTTAGTTAGTGGATCGACCCATTATCCTCATCGCACATCTGACGCCATCTTCAGTTTCTGCCTCAGCATGTGGTGATGTTGATTTACTACTCTTCCGTGGGTAACGGTATAGTTTTCATGTCTGACAACTCCACATTTGAGATAAGGCTCTTGTTGTCTTGTCAAAGTTGCCGATTTACCGTCGTCTCCCGAATCACCTACTCGACTTGCCTCCTTTGAAGCACAGGAAGCATCGATCTGGTCCATTGTTTGTTCCATGCCTACCGAGGCTCTGTCAGCAAGCCAATCAGCTCGTTCACTCCACCTTACCCAAGAGTGTCCCAGCACAAAAATGAAACTGATTCCAGGTTGAACATGGGCGAGATCTTTTTCTTTTTTCTTTCAAGGAACAGGGACTGATTCCTGTCAGATGAGATTTCTAGAAACTCCACCATTGTCTTTAATCCCATCCTGTCTCAGTCTTCACACAATCTTTCATAAGAAGGTTCACTGAATCAGTTAGAAAGCACGTATGGGTAAAAACACAAAATGTCTCTAGCCAGGTCATTACTTTTGATTCTGCCATCTCATCCATACCTCAACAATCAGGATACAAGTAGTCAAGGCAGAAGCACCGCTATCTTCCTTTACAGTTCTCCCTCCAATCAGAACCGCGAAAACCCGCGATCTGTGCTCTTGTGAAACGATGCAAAGAAAGACATTTTTGTTTGTAAACCAGAATGTCTTGGGCTCGAATGCTTGTCGATATCAGTGTTTACTTAATAATATTTATGCATAAATGATAATAAGATATGGCTGGAGACAGTGAGTAGATTACAGTTTTTACTTGTTTTCAGGGAGAATAACCTGTGGTGTGTTTTAAGTTCTACAAAATAATTCCATTTAGACAAGGTAATGCACATGTAATAACATAGTTAAATGGAAGCCGCCCTGGTAAAGTGGCTATACGCTCTCCTCAGGATCCGAAGTTAGTGTGTTCAAATTTGAACCAAGCCAGCCTTTTTCCTAAAGTAATCCTGGCTCCCAGGTCGACCCAGCCTTTAATGGGTTCGAGGTAAAGTCTGGGAAGCAAAGGCGGTCATTATGATAGTGACAACATCACCCACCGAGTGCCGATTGGTCTAAAAATATAGGTCTATCCCTATATGTCCTCCCCGTGTGGGTTCCGGGGACCCATTCTGGGGGGGGGGGTGACAAGAATAGACTCCCCAAAAAGCATGTTGTAAGAGTCGACTAACTAGGGGTTTTCTTCGAAGTCGGAATAAATCTGCATGAGAGGCAAGGAACCATCAGTCTGCATACAGATAAAGTAAGATCTGTAAAACAGATGTGCACGCAACACTAAGTTTCTATAACAAGTCTAAAGTCCAGAGCTGGCTGAGCAAACATAACTTTTCATCGGAGTTTACAGCCGGTGAACACAAAGAAGAAGCAGAAGACTATATAGGTCTGATTCGCATAGAAAGCGTGGACAATTCGTCCTTTAATTTAACCTTTAACAAATACATAGCTAAATATGCTTTTTATATCCAGGGAATAAATATGACGCTATGTGGAGTACAATTCAAGAAAACGGTCTTTTGTCATCCAACATGGCGGGCGTGGAGAGGGTCATGTCTGAGAACTTTGCTCTGATCACCGAGACACCAGTCGTACAGTACTACACCAGTAGAAACTGTGAGCTCACAGGAATTGGGGAGCAGTTTAGCAGGAGGCCCTACTCCATTGGCTTAAAGGAACGATCTCCTTATACAGATAAATTTTCAAGAAGGTAGGTATTTTTTTCTACAGTACATGTGTGCATGCTGAGCAAGATATGTACACACATGCATACATACATACACATGCATAATATATAGATAACACATACATATGTATGTACATACTTACATAGACACACAATTCATACAATAGTAAACACATATACACATACAATATCATATACAGATATGCATACCTACATACATACATAAAGTAAGTAAAGATCCCCTTTACACACCCCTAGGCGCATCGGGCATATGGGAAGAGCGCCCATATTTTTACAGACCAATCGGCACTCGGTGGGTAATGTGGTCAGCATTGCGCCGGCCGACACACATACATACATTCATAAATACAAACATACATACATACCTACACAAACATAAAACATACATACACTCATATATATATATATATATATATATATATATATATATATATATATATATATATATATATATATATATATGATGAAAGCCTCGAGAACGGTCTTTTCCTAAACCACCCACTGCTGAAATCGAACCCTGTTTAACGCCGAGGATTGCAAGTTGACATGACTGTATTATTCTCTAAGCTTTGTATTTTAAGAGTAAAATTAGTAAGACATCAATGTTTCTTGACCAGCATCCTAGAGCTTCAGAAAGAGCTTGAACTGAGTTCCCTGCGTCTGCACTGGTGGGCAAGCAGTGAAGTCAACTGTCCGAAGGAGACGGCCAACACAGGACTGGACTTGTATTCTCTGTCCGGTACCTTCATTCTCACTGGTGCCGGCATCATCTTGGGCTTGATTGTGCTTGGTCTAGAGCACATTGTCACTCGCATGAAGAGAAGACAGGTAAAGAGAGCATAGTCATATTTTACTCATTGAGAATAACACAGGGTATTGCTTATGTAACAATCAGAAAAATGTCTTAGCTCTTGAGGTTTTTTTTTTTCTTTATTTTTTCTAATCATGACAGAATAATTTATGTTTATTTAACCATGAGGGCTACTTTTCTGAAAGCTAGTGTTACAAATATCGCCCAACCTAGTGGATTTATAAAATTTATATTCTAGAAATCCTTGTTAATATGTCTTTAACCAGATAATATTTTACCATTCTTATTAAATTATTCAAACAATAATCAATTGTAAATAAAATAGCTACTCATAAAGTACAGCGTCAAAAAGTTACGAAATCGACAAAAGATATTTAAAGTAACAATACTCCCCTGTCTTCTCAATGAAGCTCCTGGTCATAGTCTGTGTTGTGTAGTTAATTTTCGGTAAAAGCTCAACTTAAGTTACCACTATGGTCGACCAAGGCAGGTCCTTTGCAGAACGTCGCTCTCATCACGGTCTGCCTGAAAGAAACTCGGTCTCTCACCAGCTCTCCCACTTCATGTACTTTCATACTCAAAGAGTATGTGCCCATCTCTGTGTCGGTCGGCCCCTGCCCCTCCTTCCTGGTACCATGCCTTCTGTTATATTTTTGTCCAATCCGTCGTGCCGCTTGATATGACCAAAATATTTCAGCTTCTATAGTCGACCACATTGCAGAATTAAATGCAAGACATAAATTGTTCATACAAGATCCATCTGCAGAAGATGTTAAGATGTTCAGAAGCAACATTTTCACACTCAATCCTGCTAACGGCAGTTTTGGCTCTAATTATGGCGTGGTTTTTATGTGTGCCAAGTTTAAGGGATTAAATGGTTTACTGTGCCAGTGATTGTGGCTCATATCCCTAACTGTATGTGCTGTTTGGGAATCTTCGTGGCGAAGTGGTCAAGCCGTTTGCTTTACGCTCTGAAGGACGTGGATTCGTTTAACGGCAGAGCCGTCCAGTTCACTAGTGCAATTTTTACAGAGAACTTTGGTTGCAGGTTGCTAGCAGCTTTGCGGAGAGAAACAGGGCCATATGAGTAAAACAAGCGCAATGAAGTCGACCCTCTCGACTTTAATATTTAACCTTGATGTGATGTTGTCCTGTATGTCTGGGTCCTCTCCATTGTTCTTTAAGTGATGTTGTCCTGTATGTCTGGGTCCTCTCCATTGTTCCTTAAGTGATGTTGTCCTGTATGTCTGGGTCCTCTCCATTGTTCTTTATGTGATGGTGTCCTGTATGTCTGGGTTCTCTCCATTGTTCCTTATGTGATGTTGTCCTGTATGTCTGGGTCCTCTCCATTGTTCCTTATGTGATGTTGTCCTGTATGTCTGGGTTCTCTCCATTGTTCCTTATGTGATGTTGTCCTGTATGTCTGGGTTCTCTCCATTGTTCCTTATGTGATGTTGTCCTGTATGTCTGGGTTCTCTCCATTGTTCCTTATGTGATGTTGTCCTGTATGTCTTGGTCCTCTCCATTGTTCCTTATGTGATGTTGTCCTGTATGTCTGGGTCCTCTCCATTGTTCCTTATGTGATGTTGTCCTGTATGTCTGGGTCCTCTCCATTGTTCCTTATGTGATGTTGTCCTGTATGTCTGGGTCCTCTCCATTGTTCCTTATGTGATGTTGTCCTGTATGTCTGGGTTCTCTCCATTGTTCCTTATGCGATGGTGTCCTGTATGTCTGGGTCCTCTCCATTGTTCCTTATGTGATGTTGTCCTGTATGTCTGGGTTCTCTCCATTGTTCCTTATGTGATGTTGTCCTGTATGTCTGGGTTCTCTCCATTGTTCCTTATGTGATGTTGTCCTGTATGTCTGGGTCCTCTCCATTGTTCCTTATGCGATGGTGTCCTGTATGTCTTGGTCCTCTCCATTGTTCCTTATGTGATGTTGTCCTGTATGTCTTGGTCCTCTCCATTGTTCCTTATGTGATGTTGTCCTGTATGTCTTGGTCCTCTCCATTGTTCCTTATGTGATGTTGTCCTGTATGTCTTGGTCCTCTCCATTGTTCCTTATGTGATGTTGTCCTGTATGTCTTGGTCCTCTCCATTGTTCCTTAAGTGATGTTGTCCTGTATGTCTTGGTCCTCTCCATTGTTCCTTATGTGATGTTGTCCTGTATGTCTTGGTCCTCTCCATTGTTCCTTATGTGATGTTGTCCTGTATGTCTTGGTCCTCTCCATTGTTCCTTAAGTGATGTTGTCCTGTATGTCTGGGTCTTCTCCATTGTTCCTTATGTGATGTTGTCCTGTATGTCTGGGTCCTCTCCATTGTTTCTTTTGTGATGGTGTCATTTATGTCATGGTTCTCTCCATTGTTCTTTATGCGATGGTGTCATTTATGTCTGGGTCCTCTCCATTGTTCTTTATGTGATGTTGTCCTGTATGTCTGGGTTCTCTCCATTGTTCCTTATGTGATGTTGTCCTGTATGTCTGGGTCCTCTCCATTGTTCCTTATGTGATGTTGTCCTGTATGTCTGGGTCCTTTCCATTGTTCCTTATGTGATGTTGTCCTGTATGTCTGGGTCCTCTCCATTGTTCCTTATGTGATGTTGTCCTGTATGTCTGGGTCCTCTCCATTGATCCTTATGTGATGTTGTCCTGTATGTCTGGGTCCTCTCCATTGTTCCTTATGTGATGTTGTCCTGTATGTCTGGGTCCTCTCCATTGTTCCTTATGTGATGTTGTCCTGTATGTCTGGGTCCTCTCCATTGTTCCTTATGTGATGTTGTCCTGTATGTCTAGGTCCTCTCCATTGTTTCTTTTGTGATGGTGTCATTTATGTCTTGGTTCTCTCCATTGTTCTTTATGTGATGGTGTCATTTATGTCTGGGTCCTCTCCATTGTTCCTTATGTGATGTTGTCCTGTATGTCTGGGTTCTCTCCATTGTTCATGGGAGCCGGGGGGTTTCGTTATGCATATCCATTTTCTTGGCTGTGCTTTTTCTGACTTCTGTGTGACTTTGTTTTGGTGGTTGTGTTGCTCTAATTATATCATGTGTGATAATAGGCCTCCAAGACAACTTTATTATGCCCTGAAAATATTCGTGATGTTCCCATCACCCTTCAATTAAACCTCGTTTTTCTGTCTGTTATTGGAGTGTTGGACACAAGGCACTAATTCCATATTTTGAAAGAAAATCGACAGTTATTGAATGATATAATCAAGCTCTTCTCAACCTGTGGGTAGCGACCCTTTTGTGAGTCGAACGACTCTTTAACATGGGTCGCCAAGGACCATCAGAATAGACATTTTCACTGAAGATATGAAGTAGTAGCGAAAAGGACTGCATGGTTTGATAGTCGCAACAACATGAGGATCGCGGCATTAGGAAGGTTGAAAACCATTGATATAGTCAATGGTATGCCAGTCACAGCTACTTCCCATGAAACCTCTGTGGCTGCATAGAATACGGGTTTTTCTTTCAAAAGTCCATACCGTGTGGTGTTGGAAGTCATGTCTATCCACGACCTTGTGTCTCGTTTACTTTCAGTTAACTCTGACACCGATGATCTTCCATGCTATGATGTCAAACCGTTCAACATCTGTTCACTCGGTCTCCCTATGCCTCCCCTCCAGCTTTCCTTCCATCATCATGTACTTCAGTTTTCTCCGAAAAGAATGTAGATTGTCTTTTTCTGATGTGGGCAATCAGTTCTCTTCGTGAGTCAGTTTCTTTTAAGACATCTTCATTACTCTTTTGACCTGCCCAGTGTATTCTGATCATTCGTCTATAAAACAGCAACTCCGCAGCTTCTAAAAAAAAGTTTTAACTAATTTACTGACGATTCACGAGTTACATAGAAGAAAAACACATCAGTGTCGATTAGTGTTTAAATCTTGATCACCAGGCGGGTATGCAAGTGGTCGTACCATAGCTTTTATGTGGCACCTACAGCTTGACACCTTTTATATCACATCTCACTAGTCTGCTGACTCAAAGGAGAGGCAAGATGACATGCAATCAGTAGGCTTCTAGTATTTCTGAATTGAAACTCTTAACTGGCTGCTGAAGCTGAGGACATGGCGCTTATGGGGAATAACCTGAGTGCTATGACGTTGGTGCTTAATTCAACATAACCTGCTGACTGTCCATGATGTGTTTAAAAACTGATCAAGTTTTTTAATTGTTCTTTCACAGAAAGGCATGAAGACAGATTTGGAAGTTGCAGAAAAATAAAACCAGAAAAATGGCTTGCAGTTGGTTGTGTACAGATTCTTGCACATTGTCGGGCAATGCAATGATAAGAATTGGTTTATTCAATTTATTCTTTTTGTTAACAGAGTATAACAATAAGGAGACCTTGAGAGTTGAAAAGAATTAAAGGTTAAAGTCGCCGATATCTGCTCAAAATATAAAAGTCTGACTTGGAAACAAAATGATCACAATTGCGACAATAAAGAAAACTTTGTGTTTTATTTTGGCAACTAATTAAAAAAAATGTAATACAAAATCTACACCTGAAGTGGAAACACGTGGGCTTCTTAATGTGCTGGATGTAACGATAACTTTTTCTTTCGCTTGTTGATTCACTTTATAATTTCTAAATTAGGACTTACATTTCTAATTCGTTTGCTCTTTATTAAGCCAGATGCACTTAATTCTATTTTCAAGTAATTCAGTAATTCTTAAATCTAACGAAAATGCAGCATTCGTTTCATTATTTAATATCTACTTGATTCTCATTAATCTCATAAAAGCCGCTGTTTCAGAACTTCATGGTCTATCACAAAGAAGAACAGAAAACATATAATATGACAGTTTGCAGAAGTTAGCGATTATGATATTTTTGTTAATGATACTTATTTCGAAGTGCCCATCTTTTTATGTGAATTTTAATATGGCACTTAATATATGGGAGTAGCCGTGGCAGAGCGGCTAGACACGAGCCATAGATCGGAAGGTCGTGGGTTCGCTTTCTGGCGGAGCCGGACTTTTCTTCAAATATGACAATTGCTCCCAGGTCGAT